CTGTCCAACAGTTGAAAGAATCAAAGTGGCTACGAGGACCAGACATGCTATGGGAGGATGCGATCTCGCGGAAAGAGACAGAGGAGAAGACAATTGAGGTACTGCCAAATGATCCAGAGGAAAAGAAGTCACAGGTACACTCGTTACACTCTGGAACTCAAAGCCTGGAATTGACCGGACTGAATTGCTTCTCTACTTGGTTCAAGGCTAAAAGAGCAATTGCGAATTGCCTGCTCTTTATCTCTAGACTGAAACAACGCTGTGAGAACAAGAGGCATCTAAGAACTGGAGAAAAGGACGAGGAAGAGACTCCAAAGGTAGGAATCTCGGTACAAGACATGCATCTTGCAGAGATAGAGGTCCTGAAACATGTTCAAAGAGTCATTTCGAGATGAAATTCAGATCATTGAATTGGTGACAAAGAGACAGGACATTCCTGAGAGGATGAAGAAGCGTCACATAAAGAAAGCCAGTCGCCTCTATGGCTTAGATCCATTCCTGGATAATGACGGACCATTGAGAGTAGGAGGGCGGCTACAAAGAAGTGACGAGGCTTATGAAAGAAAGCATCTAGTTATCCTCCCTCAAGGACACCATGTGACAAAATTGGTGATTCTACACTGTCATGAACAGACCAAGCATCAAGGGAGAGGCATGACGCTAAACCGGATTAGAGAAAGTGGCTACTGGATACTTCGAAGCAGCATTCAAGTGGCCAGATTGATCAGAAAGTGTGTCATTTGCAACAGACTGCGCAGTCCAGTTGAAATGCAGCAGATGTCTGATCTACCATGTGACAGATTAACTCCCGCACCGCCTTTCACGTATAGTGGAGTTGATTGTTTTGGCCCATGGATGATCAAGGAAGGTAGGAAGGAACTGAAAAGGTGGGGCGTCCTCTTTACGTGCACGGCCTCGAGGGCAGTGCATATCGAGACTGTGAACTCCTTGTCGACTGATGCCTTCATACAAGCATTTCGTCGGTTCACAGCTTTGAGAGGACAAGTACGTCAACTGAGAGGGACGAACTTTGTGGGGGCTGCCTCAGAGTTCAAAAAAGCATGGTCTGAGATGGACCATGAGAAAGTCAAGGACACCCTATTGAAAGAAGGATGTGACTATGTGAAATTCGTCATCAATGTTCCCTCTGCGAGTCACATGGGAGGCGTGTGGAAACGTCAGATCCGCTCCATACGCAGTGTGCTGGATGCCTTGATGTTCCAGTCTGGTAGACAGCTAGATGACGAGTCCTTGCGCACCTTGATGTGTGAGGCAGCTGCAGTTGTCAACAGTAGACCCCTGACGGTGAATCATCTCGACGACCCGACGTATCCAGCACCTCTTACGCCGAATCATATATTGACGATGAGGTCTACAGTTCTCTCTTCTCCACCGGGCAACTTCCAGAGTGCTGATCTCTATTCTAGAAAACGATGGAGGAGAGTGCAACATCTAGTAAATGAGTTCTGGAAGCGCTGGAAAAAGGAGTTTCTTCAAGGCCTGCAGGTTCGACAGAAGTGGATGCGCCCTCAACGTGATGCCATGGTACACGATGTGGTGATCATCAAAGATGACAACGCGCCGAGAAACCAATGGGCTATAGCGAGGGTCATCGAAGTCTTCCCATCTGTCGACAGTCGCGTACGCGAAGTGAGACTCGCTGTAGGAGATCCCAGGATCGACAACAAGGGAAAGCGTGCAGGACCCATTAGCGAACTAGAACGTCCGATCCACAAGTTGGTATTATTGTTACCGAAAGAAAACCAGGAAGAATTCCCCGTCGAGGAGCCATCTGTATAGATTGCATTTAGAATTTTTAGTTTTTGGAAATTGTGGTTAAATAATAACAGGTCAGATGCTGCGTTACCTATAATGCATATGATATGCATGCGATACGCGATATGCGATGCGATGCAATGCATGCGCGATATGCAATGCGATGCATGCGATATGATGCATATGAGATGTGCAGATGATGTGGTATATAGAAGCATATATTGCGTTGAACGTGTTCAGGTTCTGATCGAACTCTTGTATTGCAGTACATACAGAACGGCAATCGATTTTCCAACACATGTATATGCGTTTTGGTAAATTAGCTCAGTAATTTAGAGGAGCCATGTTAAGTTTGTTGTCGAATAGGAAAAGTTGATCGATTGAGTGAATCACTTGTTGCAAAGGCACCCGGATG